AAAAACATCCATTCAAGAAAGAAGTGCTGTACCTGGATGCTGGCACTGTGATTCGGCATCCCAGAAGACAGAGAGATCAAAACTGAAAAACAAAAAAACCCGCATTAAAATTAGCTATATTTATTTAGAAAAGCCAAGTATAAATTAAGTAAAATTTAATACACAGTAGCCAACCTAAGAGTCATATGAAAAAAGGATTCATGGTATCACTTCAGAGCTTTCTAGCTGACAGACAAAAATCACAGGCTGGGTACAACGTTAACAGCTATCATGTCTCAGATCAAGCAAGGCCCCAAGACAAAAATAACATTTGATAAAATAAGGGGGAGCTGTACAGACAGACAGCTGGGGAAGCTTGGACAATGCACCTTTTCATTCTGCTTTGCTCTTACTAAGGTTCTTAGTTTTTAACTCCTTCCATCTAGCAGCCAAAACACTATAAAATCAGCGGGGATCTGTGTTTTCCATTTCCCATGGAAAAATGTGGATTTTCCCCTTTATACGAGGACAAACCCAGATTTTCCCTTTGAAGCAGGAAACCAGAGCTGTGGGGAGTGAGAGGAGGGTGATTGGAGGCCGGGGGCACCATGTGCATGTGCACAAGTGCACACACACACGTGGCTGGCAAGAAAGTCAGGCAGGGAGGTGGGAACAGCCCTGCAGCTGGATACAAGACTATGGGAGGGGGAAAGGGGTTGGAGGGCCAGGGCTTGGAGATGATCCGGGGACGCCCATTGGCAATGCATTGGAGGGCCAGGGGGTTTCTGCGCTGACAGCAAGGCACAGGGCTGCAGTCTGGCCAGACCAGCACAGGGAGACTCAATGCTCCTGCAGTCACCAGAAGCCCCTCAAGCTGTGCCACCATAGCCGCCGAGGTGAGGTGCCCCCTGCCCACCTGGCAGCAGTGGTGGTGTAGAGTTGTGGTGCCATGCCGCCCCCCCCACATACACTGTGGAGGCATGCAGAAAGTGCCTCATCTCAGTGACCATGGTGGAATGGCTGGCACAGGGCTCCTGGCAGCAGCACCAAGTCTCCCATGCCAAATCTCAGCTGCTGGGCCATGGGGGTGGCTCCTGCCCAGTTGCTGGGCCATGGAGGTGGCTCCTGCCTGGCCAGGCTACAGCCTGTGTCCCGTGCTCCGCTGTTGGTGTAGAAATCTAGGGAGGCATGTGCCCCCCTCTCCATTTCCACCCCCAATGCATCACCAATGGCATCATCTATGCCCACCCACCCGCTGCCCCACACACCCACCTGGTGCAGGGGGGAGCTAACAGGAGGGAGCAAGTCTGGGGGTGGGCAGGGAACAAGGGGCAATGTCATGGACCGGCTGCTCAGCACCACAAAGCAGCGGGGGAGGGAGGGGAGGGAAGGGGCAGTTGCAGCTGGACCCATGTCCTGGTGAACAAAGGGGGCAGGGGGAGCTCTGATTTTCCATGTTTTAAAAAAAAATGCCAAAAATTATAGGCATTTAGTATTTTTTTTTTTTTTTTTTTTTAACCAGAGAAAACCAGGATCCCTGGTCATCAGTGACTACAGCTGAATTTTAAGCCTAGTTTCCTAAGTGAATGAGATGTACACAGAATCCTGCTCCAAGTAATTATATTAGACCCAATCAAATTAGAAAGAGTCTTAGAGGCCAAAGCCTTTGTGTAGCTCTGGCAGTGTGCAACTCCCTGGCGGAGAAGGTGGAGACACCGTGCTTTGCACCATCACAGTGTAGACTTCTCCATAGCAACAGATAGGTCATTAAAAGGCAGACAGAAACCACCTCCCTTGCTGGACAACACATTTTCTATATCACATCTTCCGAACTTACTAATTTTTATTATTTTTTCCCTCCTAATAACCCTGCTAAGCCACATTTATGCAGAAGTCTGCAGAATTCTATTTGGCTGATGCATAAAGAGGACCGCTGGTTTAGTCTGGCAGCCTGAGAGGCAGCTCTATGGTTTTACATCATAAGTACGTGTTAGGGTTTTGTAACTCGTTGTAATTCAAACGTTCAACAGGCTTTGATGAATTGTTTCTGCGAGTCTGAATTTCCCTTTTAACTACAGCAAGGTGCATCACAGTGGGAAGTTATCTTCTTTGTCTCAGGACAGCACTCTCATATCCGGCAATAGAATTCACATCGGGTTGCCAGGGTCATTCTCTACCACCAAAACTTTGCAAAGCAGAGCTGGCAGAGTGGCTGAAAAAGATGTTTCCTCTCTTCTGAGGAACTGCCTCAGGGTGCCAGGTCTCTATGCCACCCTTCTGCAGGATCCCATGCTTAAAATTTCAGAGCCTACTGGGTTAAAGGGCATTTAGAAAAACCCTTGAGAAAGATCAGAGGATCTTAGCCAGAGTTGGAAACAGCTAGGAAAACCCACACTGCCTTCTTTACAGGTTATTTCAGAGTAAAACCAGATCCCAACTAGCTTCACAATTAAATATAAAACAATTTCACTTTAAGATTTTCTGAAGCAGACCACTGAACTATATTCCTAAAAAGACATGCTAGAAACTAAACTCCTGTTTTCAGCAGTCAGGTTATGAAACCAGAACTATTTTAAAAATCCTAGGCATTACTTGAAAGTTGGCATATTAGTTTTATTAATGCTAGCTTTTAATTTTTTCTGTACATTGAGCAAATTAGACACATACTTTTGAAAAAGTGCATCCACTACCTATTGGTAGTAAAGGGTTTCATTTATGTAGTGAAGCACACTGAAAAGACTGCTTAACACAATTTAATTTAGTTATAAAAATTAATGAATAGACTTTATGTAAAAAAGGGATTTTAGAAGTGGTGTTAACTGCGACTGAAGTTAATGAAGCTCTTTTCTGGGTTAATTTCAGTTCTCACCTGCTATTACTGTGTTCACACATTCATACAGAAGAGACATGGCTGAGGTGCTGAAGTGAAGAAACAGAAATCAAGTATTTTAGAGAAATAGAAAAAATATATCACATTCTGAAGCGTTCTCAGCAACATCTTTGATCTAGTTAACACCTTTTATTACACAGGAAATTGCCAATCTTCTCTCTTCTCTATATACCTTTAAACTAGATGAAATAATTATTATTCTCCAAGTTGTTCAGCGGTCAATCTTCACCCAATGTGTTTAAACTTGGGGAGACATTGATGGTAAAAAGCTACTTTCGATCCATATCCCCGATACATTCATCATGTTCTGCTTTAAACCATTTCTTCTCAAAAAACAAGGAAGTAGTAGCAACATCATTTGAGGAGGTGAAAAGGGAAGCAATGACTCAAAGGCTCAGCATCAAGAACAAAATACTGAAATGACAATTTGATCCTTCATCCAATAATCCATGATATCCAAGGCCTATATATGGAAGAATCCCAAAGAATCTCTCCTCCAAGACAAATCTGCAGTGCTCAGAAGCTGATTCTTTCATGCATTCACTAGTATATCTCCATTACTCACCTCTACAAGGCAACGGTCTGCTTTTTTTTTTTTTTTTTTTTAATACACACCTTATTTTCCCAAACTCCCAACATAAAACATCAGTCTGTTCAACACCCCGCACAGGAAGTGCTGTTCTGAGGATCTCAAAAACATTTAAAGCTGATGTCCTCATTTATCTACGAGGAAAATGAGACTGAGAAGTGAAGTGATTTGCCAGTCGCACAGCGGGCACATCTACATGTGGAATTAATGCGACTGAGTAAACGTTGCACACTAAACTGCTCTCAGGCACAGCGTCTACACATGCACCCGGGACAGAAGCAAATTGAGCCAGGGAGGAACAGCTTAGATCAGGGCTGTTCTGCCTCTCTGCAGCACCCAGGGGAAGCTCTGGGCTCCAGCTGCCTGAGTGCCAGAGGGCACGGGGGTCAGCCCCAGGCTCTGGCTGGCAGTGACAGTGTGGCCCAGGGGGCAGCCCTGGGCTAACAAAGGGAATAGGGGGTAGGGGGCGAGGTCAGGATGGGCAGTGGGCAGCTATGTGTCAGGCAGGTGGAGCAGCTGGCTGGGCCACAAGGCTCATGCAGCTGCCAAGCTGTGGGGCTAGGGCAGTAGGCAGAAGTGTGGCCCCCTGCTGGGCTGGGTTGGCTAGGAGCAATTTACTCCCAGGTCAGCATCTACACATGTACTGCTGCACAGTAAATAACTCTGCAGTAGGATAGTACTTGTATTTGCAAGTACTACCCTGCTGTGGACGTCATTAGTTTCCTGCAGCTTAACAACTGCATGTGTAGATGCACCCACCATGACTGACAGTGATACAGGAGCAGAATGCAGAGGAACAATCCATCAAGGTATTGGGCTAACAATTCCTGAATTAGCAGTCACAAACGATACTGAAAGTGAGTCGGAACAGTTTCTAGCCACTCAGTATGATAAAAATTAGGACTTTATTTTATTTTTTCTGCATAGTTAGTGGTGTGTGGCAAGTGTCTTGATGGACAGAATCATGGAAAAATAAGTCTGGAAGGGGTTTCAAGAGGTCATCCAGTCCAATCCTGCTCAGAGCAAGACCATCCCTATCTAAACCATTCCAGACAAATATTTGTCTAACTTGAAGTTATAAAGTTCAATGATGGAGTTTCTAGCCCTGCTCTAGTGTTCAACTACTCTCACGGTTAGGAAATTCTCATGGGTGAGGCTTGACTAGTGCTGAACGGAGTGGAAGAATCACTTCCAACGACTTGGATATATTAACAGGAGCATTATATGCAAGTATGCGATTAGCTTCTCGTTTTTTTTAAAGCAACAATACTACATTGCTAACTCATTCAGTACGAGACAACTACGCCCCGGCCCCTTCTCTGCAGTACTGCAGCCAACCCAAACTGCTCCACACTTCGTATTTGTGTATTTCTCCTAAGCCTAGTACTTTGCACATTTTCTTATTGAAATGTCAACCAATATATTTCATTTTTCTAATTTAAAATCAAGGTCACTTTGACTTTTCCTCCTGCCCTCTAAAGTACCTCCTACTCCACCTAGTTGGTGCTACATACAAATTTAATAAGTGTACATTCAGTCCCAGACTACAAATTATTAAGGAAGATTTTGAGTAGTATGGACCCAAGACAGACCTTTGAGGAGCCTCTCTTGATACCTCCTCCCAGCAAGACATTGAGCTGTTGATAACTACTCTGAGCACAATTACCCAGCCAATTATGCACATGCATTCAATTAAATGACACTAGACTAGGAAACGCCATGATTGATAAGATGGGAACCAACCAGACTTTAGGTTACAGTCCTCACAAATAATTAAATGAGTAACTAGTGGGGGAGCAGGGTGAGGAGGTGAGAGGGAGAGGGGTGCAGATATACATACTGTCCATCTCGTTGCTTTTCTTGGAGAAGTACTAAATTTGTATATTTGCCAGTGCTGCAATGAACTGAACCCTCTTTAGGTATTTGGATGCAAGCCCGCTGGCTGTTCGAGAGAAAGATGGGTTACAGCAGACATTTTCTTTCCTTAGCCTACACTTAGTAACAAATGGGCTTCTCTTCTAGCAGCATCAACTGTGAAGACTAAAGTAGTTTTCGATTAAAGTTATTAACCACATGTGTAAGAGAGTAACAGCAAGTGAATTAGCCATCAAGAGAAAAGTTCAACACTTAGGGCCTGACCTCACTCAAAAAATTTAAACTTGAGTTAATCAACTGGGAGTTAACTTGAGTCATCTCATTTATACATGCCAGTCTGGATATTCCAGACATACCTGTGGTTTACCCATAGTTCGCCTGAAGCCTATGGTATAGGTATAGCTCCTTAATTAGCAACTGCAAGGCAAATTTGATGCAAATGCATTCCAAAGCAACTCTGAGATTCTGGGGCCTGACCCACCCCCTGGGGACAAAGTCCACCTAAGGGACACACTGTGACAGCCCTCCTCTCTTGGGTAGAAGTAGAAGGACTACCTAGAGAGCCAGGACAAGCCAGAAAGTCAGCAACACTGGCAAAGATGAACCACTGCAAAACATCACTACAGCAACTATCACTTGGGGACTGGTATACAGTGCTCAAAACTAAAGTCAAATCTGCAGTACTCCTGAGGGAAGATGGCAACAGCAACATCACCTGTCCTCACGAGGGAAGAATCTACTTAGGATTCAACCGTCTTTATATATAAAAAGATACAGGTCAGGACTTCCAACCCCAGCAAGGATGAAATTTGGGTCTCTGTGCAATTATTCTGGCAGAGTCCCATCTCAATCATGTTATTAACTAACACTGTGTTAGTAACTAGAATGCCTTTAATTTTATATTTATTGAATTGGTTAACTGTTATATTTCTGTTCAGGAGCAGATATGGAGACTTAAATGAGTGGACATAAAACGGTTTGAGCAGTTCTCTGTCCCCAGTCATGGAAGATATTGAGCATATACACAACAGCTTGCCTGACCCATCTTTCTTCTCAACAGGAAGAGTCTGCTCCTCATGCGTATGTGAATCTTAACGGATTTTTTTTTCCTATGACTAGGGTTCCTAGAGTTATGCACTTCTTTCCAAAACCAGCCACTTTTTTGGATACCAAATTTAAGAACAGGACTTCTTTCCTAAAGCAGCCACTTTTTTGGATACCAAATTTAAGAACTCTCATAGGCCGAAGCAGAGGGGACTGCAAAGGGAGCTTAATGACAACGAGACATCTTCAGCTTCCTTTGTCCAGCCTGTTAATGTTTTATTATTAGACACCAGCTGGGGAAAACATTCAAGTCAAATCTTACAAAACTGTCATGAAACTTTTCCAGCCTGGGCACAAGATATATTCATCTGCCTTGCAATAATGGTTTTAGGAGTATAAAACATGAAGTTTACTTATAAGACCAAAAAAAGCTATGAACCATGGGAACATGAGTGAAAAAAAAGGCTGAGTGCTATGTACATGCCTTTTATAATCTAGAGTTTTCCTGTACACTCAAAAGTAACCTCCAGCTTCAGGTAAAGAGGGAATAAAGTGGATTACATTAAAATTCACCTTTTGTTCACTTGCACATTGGCTAAAGTCCTGCATTTCCAATGACTTGAAGATATTTTTTTTTTTAACAGATATTTAGTTTCATTAGAACTTTTCAAAAAAGAGCTGCTCTAGTGTAATTTTAATTTGATGCTTGGAACCAAGACTTCCCAGATGCAAAAAGACAAGCTCTGTAAGTGCTAGCAAAGTAGCTGCTGAGCTATATGAACTAAGGAGAAGAAAACAATATATTTTTAAAACTTACCTATGTATGAGATTGGTCAGTGGCTCAATCAGCTTTTTTCCCAGTCTAGGTTCTAATGGAGTAAGAGCACCAAACTATTTGGAGGTTAAAAAAAGAAGGGAAAATTAATTTATCAGCACATTTTCAGTAGAGTAAGACAAGAGCTATTATACTTTGTGTTGTAACTGATAAGAAATCTACATTAAGGAAGATGCGTTTTCCACTGGCTCTCATCTTCCCTCCCATTATAAGAAATGTCTGCTTCTCTTCTCATCCTTTTATTCAGATGTACATGTAATTATGCCTCCAAGTGATAGCTTTATTTTCACACCCACACTGCTGTTAATTAGAATGCAGCCCTGAAAACACAGAAGAACTAGGATACTTGCCAATTTTATAATTTTAATGAGGACCCAATTATTGGTTGATGATGTCATCAACTTAAAAAAGAGCGGAGCGAGGGAAAGGTAATTCTTGGGATTGCGTCTGGCCAGCTCACAAATAACATTTACTGCAGCGGACTGTACACCTGGGAAACAAAAGTAGGAGAGAAGGAGATCCAATCAGTAAACTGATTGCCATTTGCTTTCCAGACTCAGCCCCCAAACAAGAACAGCCTTACACTAGTATGGGGCTGTGGTTACTGCTTTGCCTCATTTCCAAAGACACTAATTCTCTGGAATGAACTGAGCTTCTGTATTTTAAGGTGGATCTGTAAGAGATGTTTTAAAGCTGAAAAAATGGTACAAACTCGTTTATGACAAACAGGTGTCTGATTTTCTGCTTGCAAGTACCAGGGACATAATTCCCCATCTTCCCTGGTTTGAGAATTTATTGGAGTGGAAGGAGCAAGAACGATGCTGCACCATTAGTACTCCCACATAAAAGATCCCAACAAAACCTTCCTGTCTCTAGAGTGTTCCTTATTCATTTAAAATTAAACATTAGCTGTAAAACAGTCCAAGTAAAATCCTTTCCTTCTCAGTTGCTCAAATCTCACTTGCCTGTTTCTTAGTTCATACTCTTTGCAGTTTTCTAATGCAAGATACAAGTAAACACATTTTTGAAAAGCCTCATAATAAAGCATTATGGCAGATTTTTTCTCTCTTTGGATGTTACTTTTATAACATTACTAGCAGCTTTCTTACATCTCATTGTAAGGTGGGTTTTATACAGTTTGCCAACCAAGTTACTGAATCTGCTTTCATTCTCTAACTAAACTTTATTGAAATTTGTTGGCTTGCACACAAGGTGGAACTTTTTAAATAGACAAACTGCATTTCAATTCAGCAAGGAAAGATAGCCATCCTAACTATGTGTTTTGGAAAGACTATAGGAAAATGAATATTTATGGCCAGCAACTGCACGTTTTCCATTCCACCACTTTTAAGCTGCACTATGTGTGACACAGTACGGATGAATTCAAGAGGCAGCTTAGGCCTCAAAATTTAGAATTAAATATACAAAAAAAAAAAAAAGAGATTTCTGTTGAGCTATGTGAATTTTTTTAACTATATTTTATCCCTCAAAATTGCAACCCAATCACTACAATTTTGTGCTAGCAAATAAGCATCAAAAACTTAAATTCTTAAGAGTCTTTTCATTAACCAAGCAAATAAATGATAGAGCATAACACTCAGCAAGTATAAATACTTTTTCTGCATTAAGATTAAATCCACTATTTCAGTTTCAGTAATTTTGGCTTGGTTCAAAAACAATCAGCTCTGCAGTCACCATCCTTTACTTCCTATAAAAACTGACATGAACCAACAACATATATGTTCCTTTTAAACAATTTTAAACAAAGAATTTATCAAAATTCACCAACCAGGATCTGGATCCTCCAGCTTCTCTTTAAGGCGAGGGAATGCAGGACGGAGGGACTCTGGGTATTTCAAAAACACTTTGTACATGATTAACACTGCCTTCTTCCTGATATAAGGCTTCGTGTGAGACATCTGTTGGAGAAGCAATTGCGATCAGACTCCTAACATGTTCATATTCCCACATGTTCCTTCTGTGGTTGATGTTTTCACATCAACACCTACAAAACTTGGTTCTGCAGGGCCTCTTTCTGCAAGCTGCTTTTAAGACTTTTACCATTTAAAGAGAACAAAGTATTGTCACACAAGTTAAAAACAAATAATGAAAGTAGTCCCTTTAAGCTGACCAAGGAGATGCAGTTTACAGGAGACCAGTATTCAAGGATCAGCAACAGAACTCCCCACTCTGAATGTATGGTGAAGGTCTGCCTCTAGCTTGCCATTCACCTTGTAGAATACGAAGACTTCAATTACTATCTTTCAGTCAAGCACGCTGCATCAATTAGTGACCGCAGTGAAATGACTGAGAACAGGGGAATAAAATATTCTAGAGAAAAATCTGGTTAAATCGACATCTTCATTAAACACATGGATAACTTCTTCACCATTATGTTGATAATATTTTAAAGATGTATAAAAGCCAGAGTTCATTTATATGTATTACTTTACCCTATACGACTGGTTTGGGTCAGAATATAATTGCATCTTGGTTCTGCAAACCCATCTAAATCATCTAAGTGCCGACAAGACTTCAAAGGGCGCACAAAATAAAAGGAGGAAAGTACCAAAAAATCCCCACTTGTGTCAGAGAACACATCCTGGAGCAGAAACATCATCTGTTAGGTTCAAGATTGTTTTCCTCCTGAAAAACTAATCTGATCATTGTAAGGTGACAGAAGTGACGTGGAAAGCTGTATTACCAGGTCCAAGCAATTCATGCTTAAAAAATTGCATCATGTACTTGATTCAGATGGAAAGTAGTCCCATTTCCAAAATGTTTTAAACTGAACACAGGGAGCACAATTAGTTTGCTGATTTGGGACTTGGACTGCCAGAGATTAATGCAAATTATAGCAGTACAGCTCTCAAACACCAGAAGTATTAAAATGAAAATTACAACTGTTTCAGGCATTGTAGTCCTACATACTATTGGGAACAGTACATTTATAAAAACAGCTTAAAACACAGTCTAGCCCCCAAGAAATCCA